GTACCTGTGTACCTACTGCTTGACCACTTTGCAATCACACAATATATTCTCTTCTAAAAGTCGTTTTATTTCCGTCAATCTGCGTGGTCGAGTTAACTAGGGATTGCTTTCCATTGTTCTTCCTTATTGCAAAGACCTTGTTTATTATGTATGCGAAGATTTTATTTCCGGTTGTTTGTATGAGTGAAGAAGAAGACCGATCGAGCACTGGAACAATTGGTTTATTATCCTGCGTTTTCGAACTCGTATAAGGGTCATCATCATCAGAACTATCAACAGTAACAGAAAAGGATACACTTACACAGTCTGGGGGTGACTGCGCAGTACTCTGTATGCAGACACAAGCTCGGTACATTGAGCGACTGAGTTCCCATTCGAAGACCAGGTTTAAATCAATTTTTGACTTGTCTTGCTACCGATTTGGGTGATTATTTTGACGCCTGCGGAGTTGAACTCATGGCCCGTTTCGTCGGTTTGGGCAACTAACTACTTGCTATGATTCGTCGCGCAGCCAGCTTACATTCAGGCATGCCCGATCCGCGCGTAATTTCAGTCTGACCTACAAGGACAGTTTAGGCACGCGATGCAAAAAACTACCCAGTTTGTTCTTTGAGATTTAGCTAACCTTTATTTGCTTTTGAACAGAAAGCCTCTCCTCTTGACTTCTGCGGCTCCCAGACAAGTCCCATTACCATGCATAGGTCATAACTCTTTGTCCGTCCAAAAGCCTTAGAGCGGTTACACGGCGACAGTGGGCATCTTTTGTTGTTCCTAGATTCAAGGATAGGCGTATTCAGTCACCCTTGTAGCCAGTCAGTTAATGGTTCTAGTTTGTGATGGGGGAGCGCGTAAAGGCACATATAGAGCTGGACCACTTTCGCTGTATTGTACTACCTCTATAACCCTGTTATACCCCGCCAGTAGAAGTAAGAAAGCCAGTCGAGCTACTACCCCCTTGAAGACACTCTTTGATTGTTCTCATTGCAGTCCGATCTTGGTTATGTTCGTAAATTCTTTGCTTGCCTTTATAAAGTACGCCCTCGCTGTTGAGTCCTGCTTTGGGGATTCGATTGAGGCTTTGTTAGACGGGCTAATACTGAGGCCTGTGGCAAAGGCATGACATGTCCAATCATAGCATAGTCTGTGACGGCTTACTCCTCAGGCAGACAGGAGGTGGGATATGTTTATCTGGCCGGTAGCCTTTGTTGAGAATTTCTCT